CATCAGTGGGATACCAGAGAAGCCTCAGTCCATGGTGAGCTGCGACCCTCCACTGACAGGGGCTGCTGCTGCAGACCAGCCTCTGTCCCCAGTGAGCTTGGGCCATCATGGACAGAGGCTGCTCACAGCAGGTTCCCTCCCTGAAGATGATGTTGATTGCTTTCCATTCCTTAAATAGAATTTTCCCAGGGCAGGAACCCTCTGTTTAACCTTCCCCATCCCCATGGAAAAAATACCAGATTCTAGAAGGATTCCAGCACCAGGTGGCATGGTCACATGTCTTTGTAGGACCAACCATAGGAGAAACAAAGCCATTCACAGATCATTGTTTTGAGCACTAGCCCATTAAACTCCTTAAGCACAACTGAGGGCTTTCATTAGAAGTTCTAGATTAAAAAGCAGGTTAACACTTCATATTTTAACTTCACATACAAGAATAATACATTCACAAAAATAGAACATACACGTTCAGGAGATTACAGGATCTTGAATGACAGATTACTTGACCTGTTTTGCATAAAGCATATTTGAGTTATGCATATTCATATTAAAAACATAATTCTATAAGAAATATGGTGGCATAGTGTTAGTTGGTGTATTGTCATACACCTGTTTGGTGTATTAAATAGGGAGCACTGTTATGGCTACTAACTCAGTCACAGCTAGAGTTTTTAAGCTGACTTTGGCTTGTCCAAATGAAACAAGACTCCAGAAATCTATCTAAGATAGTGGTGTACAGCTATCTGCTGGTGTAGAAGCTAGCTGGTTGAAAGTATACATGACAACTTCCTTTATAAGTATAAAGGCAGAAAGCAACGCTATTCCCCCCAATCTGGTGAGCTTCCTGCCCTGGTACAAACAAGCAAGCACTGCACTTGTTTATATGTGACTAGTTAATTTTGGTAGAAACTGTGATCCTCTTCAAAAATGGAACTGCATGTGTACTCTTGTTAATCCCTTACTGTTCAGATGGGTTAGATTCTTATTAACTCTTCTATACCTTACCTTAGCACAATATATAGTAAAATGCATATTGCTGGCATCTATTGTGCCTCTGTGTTGCTTATTCCTAAGTGGCCGTTTACTGTAGCAGTCAAAACCTGATTTGCTTTTTGTCTCATCTGTTTCTTTACAGCTTCTTGCTGTGGTTTTTGACACATTCAGTGATATTGAAAAGAGGAAGTTCAAGTCTCTACTGCTCCACAAGCGCACAGCCATTAAACACGCCTACTCACTTATTAGCGAGCAGGTAAGACAGGGATGGGGACCCTTTTTTGGATTGAGGGCCACTAACCCCAAAATCACTCGGGGCCACACATGGATAAGAAACACAAAAAACCCCAACAATCCTACACTGTCATGGCCCCTCACTGAGAAGGAGAAAGACAGTCCCCACGTTTCCCTCATATGCTAGACCTTAAGGGGTGCCTAGACTAGTAGATTTTATGTCCTCCAGCCCCACTGTGAGTGGAGGGAGACGGGAGCACCAGTGTAGGCTCCCCAATGCTGTGGGGAACCCTGAGGCTCGGGGGCCAGATCCAGCCAAAATCCACATCTGGTTCCTAGGACTTAAGTTCCCCACCCCTGAGGTAAGGGATACTTCATATGCATGAGAGTCACAGCCTGTGTCCTTAGAAATAAAGGGGGATGAGCTCCACCAATATTTCTTTAGAAGACACTTTTTTTTAAAGAGGTGATGTGCCGCCAGTGGTGATTGATGACAAAGTTCAGTATGATCAGAAACCTGAAGGATGAATAGATTCAGGGTTTTTTAGCCATGCTATAAGCAGTGTTAAGCCTATCCACACAAAGGGAGAAGAGGAATGATTTAGCATAGTGCATTTGAGTATACAGGCAGTCCCCGGGTTACGTACAAGATAGGGACTGTAGGTTTGTTCTTAAGTTGAATCTGTATGTAAGTCGGAACTGGCGTCCAGATTCAGCCGCTGCTGAAACTGATCAGTTTCAACAGTGGCTGAATCTGGACACCAGTTCTGACTTACATACAGATTCAACTTAAGACCCCCAAGTCAGCTGCTGCTGAAACTGATCAGCAGCTGATTCCAGGAAGCCCGGGGCAGAGCAACTCTGCCTGGGGCTTCCTGT